ATGGCAGATATTGATTCCAAACCATTACATCCAAAAAATAAAATCCTCCTCTACAGTCGATATCTTCTGTCCAAATTATCCTGGCATTTTACAGTTTCTAGCGTATCGAAAACGTGGGTCACCGAAAACATTGATTCCAAAGTCAACAGTTATATCCGTAAATGGCTTGATATACCTATATCCGGAACGCTAAGCACTGTTTTCCTAACCCGCAACAAGTTTGGCTTCAGTATTTGTCCCCCATCTGTCAAATTTATTCAATGTCAAACTGTTCTCCGTAAAGCCCTAAAAACATCCCCAAACGAAGCAATTAACGATCTTTGGAAAGCAACTAGCAACAGCAAATATATTCAGTATGACGTTTATAACTCCACTAAGCAAGCTCTTAAGGACTTTCGCTCTGGACAAGAGGATAAACTGCATACTCAATTAACCTGTCAAGGCTCTTTCTTCACTAATATAACAAAGTTCTCACTGTCCCAACTCACTAAAATTTGTCTGCGTGCCAATCGAACCTTCCGAAAAATGTATTCAACTTTACAGTTCGATACATCAATAACTCCCTTCCAACGCACCAAACCTTGCAAGATGGGGTTTATCACCGACTTCAGACTGTTCGCGATGTCTAGCTCCTGAAACACTTCTGCACGTAGTAGCTGGTTGCCAATCGTATCTAGAAGATTCACGTGGAGACATGACTCCGTTCTAAACTTTCTCGCAACAAGCCTGCAGACCGTAAGGGGGTCACATCTTTACGTGGATCTTCCAGGGTACAAAAGTCCATCAATCATCACTGGTGACATCTACCGTCCAGATTTGCTTCTTTCAACCTCAACCGGAACACTCTATATTGTTGAATTTACAGTTGGCTTCGAATCAAATCTTCAAAAAAACGTTGAGCGTAAAAAATCAAAATATAAAGAATTAATTAGGGAACAAAATGAACATTTCAACTCAGTAAAATTTGTAAATCTTTCGATTAGTTCTCTTGGTGTTTTCAGTAAAGAATGTTCCACTTTCATAGAAATGCTTAATGATTTTGGTTTTCAAAAGCAACATCAGAATTACTGTATTAGAAGAATGACGACGATTGCAATCCGAACAACGTATTACATATTTTGTTGTCGAATTTTACTGAGTTGAAATGTTCATTTTGTTCCCTAATTAATTCTTTATATTTTGATTTTTTACGCTCAACGTTTTTTTGAAGATTTGATTCGAAGCCAACTGTAAGTTCAACAATATAGAGTGTTCCGGTTGAGGTTGAAAGAAGCAAATCTGGACGGTAGGTGTGACCAGTGATGATTGATGGACTTTTGTACCCCGGGAGATCCACGTAAAGATGTGAGCCACTTACAGTCTGTAGGCTTGTTGCGAGAAAGTTTAGAACGGAGTCATGCCTCCACGTGAATCGTTCTAGATACGATTGGCAACCAGCTACTACGTGCAGAAGTGTTTCAGGAGCTAGACATCGCAAACAGTCTGAAGTCGGTGATAAACCCCATCTTGCAAGGTTTTGGCGCGTTGGAAGGGAGTTATTGATGTATCGAACTGTAAAGTTGAATATATTTTTCGGAAGGTTCGATTGGCACGCAGACCAAATTTTAGTGAGTTGGGACAGTGAGAACTTTGTTATATTAGTGAAGAAAGAGCCTTGACAGGTTAATTGAGTATGCAGTTTATCCTCTTGTCCAGAGCGAAAGTCCTTAAGAACTTGCTTAGTGGAGTTATAAACGTCATACTGAATATTTTTGCTGTTGCTAGTTGCTTTCCAAAGATCGTTAATTGCTTTGTTTGGGGATGTTTTTAGGGCTTTACGGAGAACAGTTTGACATTCAATAAATTTGACAGATGGGGGACAAATACTGAGGCCAAACTTGTTGCGGGTTAGGAAAACAGTGCTTAGCGTTCCAGATATAGGTATATCAAGCCATTTACGGATATAACTGTTGACTTTGGAATAATAATAATAATAATAATAATAATAATAATAATAATAATAATAATAATAATAATAATAATAATAATAATAATAATAATAATAATAATAATAATAATAATAATAATAATAATAATGATTATAATAATAATAATAATAATAATAATAATAATAATAATAATAATAATAATAATAATAATAATAATAATAATAAAATAATAATGGAAACTTTTTATTAGATATTTACGATATACTATATATACATTGATAAACCTCACTTAATAAAAGGTAGCTTATCGATGTCCACTTGAATTGAATATAAAAGTAAAATATATATACAGGTGAAAATCTTTTAAATTTAGTTAAAAGTTTAAAAGTTCTGGGTAGTTCCAGTCTTTGTTTCGTCTACAGAATATATAATAAGACGTGCGAATACAAGTAGCAATTATTTTCTTTTTTACATATTTAATACATTGTTCGTCATACTTCAGATCATGGAGCATATCAAATAAAGTATTCGTCGATTCACCAAATACACCTAAAGAGCTTATAGATGCATTAACAAACTTAACTTCATCACATATATTTTCTTGATCGGTAATTAGAGTCAAATATTTTTCATGTTTTCGATCTGAGTTAGTTTTCAGGTTTGTTTCAAATCCAACAGTTAATTCAAGAATGTACAAAATCTTATTTTCAATTGTCAATAGAAGGTCTGGTCGTAACTCGTCACCAGTGATGACAGATGGACTAATAAATCCAGGCAGATCTACATACATTTTGGACATTCCGACGTCGAGAAGGCTGGACGCAATGAGATTCAAAACTGAATCATGTCGCCATGTATATCTCCCTTCGTTTAGGTATGTCTTACATCCAGAGATTACGTGCAAAAGCGATTCAGGGCAGAAGCAGAACGAACAGTCAGCAGATGATGACAGACCCCATTTAACTAGGTCTTTCCTAGTAGGCAAAGAATTGTTGATGTAACGTAGACTGAAGTTAAATATGTTCTTAGGAAGTTTTGAATGAACCGATGACCATAGGGAATTGAATGCCAACGTGGAGTTTTTCACGATGTTTGAGAAAAAAGAACCTTGTGACATTAGGTTATTTTGTAGTCGCTGTTCGTTTTTTTGTCTAAATGCCTTCAATACATCTTTTGTGTTTGAGTAAATGTCGTGCTGAATATTCCTATTGGTGCTTGTTATTGACCATAATTCACTTATGTTTTCATTTATCGATGACTTTAAAGCTGAGCGTGAGACAGTTTGGCACTGTATAAACTTCGTTGAAGGTAGAATGACATTTAAACCAAATTTGTTGTAAGGGAGATAGACATTGCTTAGAGTTTCAGATATTGGCCGTTCGAGCCATTTTCGTATATATTTAGTAGCAATACTGTCCAAAGTCTCGCAAACCCATGTTTGAGATATATCAGTTATTGTGAAGTCCCATGAGATTTTCGAGAGCAAGTAGCGACTGTATAGCAGGATTTTATTTCGCGGGTGCAAATGTAATTCATCTATTTTAGATATGATATTATTAAACAAGTCACATATATCCCATTGGTGTTTTTCATCTGACATGTTGAAATTATAATAATAATAATAATAATAATAATAATAATAATAATAATAATAATAATAATAATAATAATAATAATAATAATAATAATAATAATAATAATAATAATAATAATAATATTAATAATAATAATAATAATAATAATAATAATAATAATAATAATAATAATGCTTCCAATCTATATATCACAATTATTTCATATACTTGTGAAAATAGCGACTACGATCTGAGCAGCAATAACTTAAAATTGTCAAAGGAAACCAAAAACAATTTTTTTAAAGAATAGCTTTTCCTACAGAGGAGCAGCGCCTTGGAATAACATCCCAATAAATAGTCTAAATATTCTAAAAGAAACAACTAGTCTAACAGCCTTCCATAATATAATAGATAGTTGTTTCAATTCCTTACAATAATTTACACTACCTTCATAAAATATTATTATTAACCTGATTGTTATATTATATATATTTGTAAATACATTAATTAATCAATTAATTAAGTAAGTAATTGTTTTTAGTAATGTAATTGTCCACACGGCCCTTTGAAAATCACTCTTTGTGAAAGGCTACCGTGTTTTAAATAAGATTAATAATAATAATAATGGAAACTTTATTTATTTCATACTATACCATAAAACTATATTTACATTGATAAACCTCGCTCATAAAGATAGTTTATCGATGACTACTTGAAAAATATTTGGATTATATAAATTTACAAAAATAAGGAATTTAATATCGTTCAAAATTTTAAAAGCTCTGGGCTAGTCCAGTCTTTGTTGAGGGCCCCTATACTTTTTGCGTGAAGCGTGATGATTTTCTTAATCCGTGATTCGTGATGGTATGACTTCCAATCTTTTTACGTGCACGTGAAGGAAAGATTCGATTTAACCGTGACCCGTGAATGGCAGATAGAAATATGCGGGATTCGTGAATCATCTGTTTTGTGACCTTTTGTGTGATCAGCTTTCCAAGGAATAAATACGGTTTGTTGCTGTTTTTTGAAGTACTTGATGTACAGAAGCCTGTTTTCGACATAGTTGGAGGTTTGAAAGCATGTCGAGGTAGGTAAGTACGGACGAGTACAACGATTCTACAATTAAGGAAGATATCCATATAATAATTCGTGAATTTTGTTTTATTTTTACGTGAATCGTGACCGCTTCAATTTTTCCGTGAACGTGAAGGAATTTTTTCAATTTTTCGTGACTCGTGAAAAGGCAAAATATTTTTACGTGAAAGCATATTGTTTCGTTGACAGAATACATAATATGATGCGCGAATACAAGTAGCAATGATTTTCTTTTTAATGTATTTAATTTGTTGTTCATCAAACTTCAGTTCCTTGAGCATATCAGTTAATTTTAAGGTGTTCGTTGATTGAACAAAAACACCCAGCGAGCTTATGGATACATTAACAAATTTTACCTTATCAAGGTCTCAGTCTTTAACTCTTTAACTGCATGTATGCTCGATGAAGCCATGCCCGTGAGAACAGTTCGCGCACACTGTACGGACAAACCGTGGATGACCCCCAATATTAAAGCGTTGATAAAAGCAAGACAGAGAGCATTTACGAAAGGGGAGACACCGAAGTATAAAAGTTTACATGCAAAAGTTACCAAGCTGATATCCAACGCTAAAGCTACGTACTACAAATCGAAGGCTGAAGGCAGCCATCAATCCAATCCCGCCAAATGGTATAAAACGATTTACAAGCTAGTGGCAGCAACCGAAGATCAACAATCTCAAAATTCAACCAGATCCTCCCAGACTACAAGCGGTAGAGCATTTGCTCAAGGACAGCCACCCACCTCTACCATCCATTGGCCAAGTCAAAACAGTCCTAAAACACCTAAATGCTAGGAAAGCCACTGGGTCGGATAATATCCCTGCATGGTGTCTTAAACGGTACACAGAAGAATAATTAGCACCAGTGGTCCACGATATTGTGGTGGCAAGCATAGTTCAATGCAAATATCCCACCTCCTACAAGCATGCAATCAGCAGTTCCATACCAAGATCCGTCCACCCACAGACCTAGATAGTGACTTCCGCCAAGTTTCCGTGCTGCCACAACTAGCAAACGTTATCGAGAAGCTACTGCTCCAACTCAATAAATCCAGTTTCAAGATCAAAACAAACCAGCACGCCTTTATGAGCGGTCACTCAACCGTGTCTGCCCTTACCTCCATATCTCAGAACTGGTTCGACTCAACGGACAAGTCCTCAACCGACTTAGTCGACCATAAGATCCTTCTGGACAAGCTGCTGATATGAGTGTAACAAGGAGTTTCTGGTTATGGATAAAGAGTTTTCTGGAGGGAAGAACACAACAGGTAAATCTCCAAGGTGTACTATCCTTTACTGCATCATGCCCAGCCGGCGTCCCTCAGGGATCTGCTATCTCGCCGACTTTATTCAACATACATATTAACGATATGGAGGAAAATGTTTCTGAACAGGCATGTGTCAACACAACCAAATATGCGGACGATTGCACCATGGATACGTCCATAAGAACAGGAGAATCTAGCGATTTGCAAAGCGCTCCGGACTCAGTGCAAAGTTGGGCTGTGGAAAATAAGATGGAACTGAATGCCAAAAAGAAAAAAGATATGTAGATTAACTTCACCGAAGCACCGCCCCCTCTACCAACCTCGTACCCAGGGCCTCCTGCTGAGGGCGAAGGCCCTGGTAAATGCTGGTCAAATACTCCCAGAATTTAGGAGTATTTTTGAATCTCATTAAAATTTGTAATGGCGATCAGGGGGGAGGGGAGTTCGAAGGAGTTAAAATGAAAGCAATTAAACATGGATGACAAAAGGTTTCAAAAGACAAAATCTATACTTTAATAAGCAGCAATACTTACAATTTCAGTCAAAGGTAAGTTACAAAATACTTTATATATTTAGTTAAATTGTCTCATGAGACTCATGAATGTTATTGTCGATACGTTACATTACTTAAGATTATGAAAATATACGAATATAAAAGTTTATTAAGGAAATCTGAAACAATATCCCTTCAGGTTGTGACTGATGAGAAATTATATCTTACATTCTTTCTTATGCATTTCTTTGACATATAAAAAAACTGAAGAAACGCTCTTACGTCCCTCAGTAAGTCAGTTTATACGAATTCTATGTACCCACGAGGTCATATTTACTCGTTTGAGTTATTTCTATTAATGAAAAATCCTTTTTATTTTTGAGTTTTGTCTCCCATAGCAATCTGCTTTTTGTGCTTTTCTAACCATGTGAAAAGTTCACTCATATTAACTGATGATGTTGGTGAAACAACAATTTCTTTAAAATTATGATGATATCTGCCTTTCTTTGTGTTGAATGGTTGTAATTTTCGTAGATCCTGAAACATCATGACTTCTTCATTACTGGTTTCCTTGTGTGTATGCGATTGAGATGCTGGTTTGATATTGCTGACTTCATTCACTCTCTTCACTATTTGATCGACACCTGCAGCAGCTTTAGATGCCCTCATCATTGTTTGAGGAGTCTTGTTGGCCCCCATTCCCTTGACAATATCTTTGCTTACACGATTACATATCTCCTGCGCCATATCACATGCTATATTTTTCCCTTCTCCACCATTCCAATTTACAAATCTGCCCCATTTCAAGCGATGAGCCATTTCTTCAGAGCACAGAGACTTGATTTGAGCAATCCATGTGAACATCTCCACAGAATAGTTTTTAAATGAGTTAGATGACTTAAAGTACATTAATAGCCTTTTCTTATTGATCATGCTTCTTTCTCCATCACCCTCTTTACATGTATCGATCAACTGCATAAGGAAAACCACAAGCTCAATAACATTGAGCCCATATGCCCTGTCAAAAAATATATAGAGAATAATACATGGGTGTGCAGAAATACCAGATTTATTTTGAGTGTTAAACATGATATATAGGACAGTCTTCGAAAAGTGATAATTTTTACAGAAAAGCGATGATTGAAAAGCATAATTTTCACATGTGAGATTATCATGAATAATCTCACATGTGAGATTGTCACTTTTATCAGTGTTAAAAATCTCTATAAAGCACTATACTTTATAAGAAAAGTCAATTATGAATGGGTATTCCTAAAATATTATTTTTTCAGCATGCTACCTACCTTACTTTGTCCGATTCAAAAATTTCTTGCTCTCCTTTTGGCAAAGCATATTCATTTACAAATTCCCCAACAACTTCCTGAAAATATTCCATCTTCTTTTCATTTTCCTGGCTATGGATATCTGCTGGAGGTACATGTTTGGTTGGGCTTTCTTCTAAATTCCCCATTCCCCAAAATTCCATTGCTGCTTCCAAAAGGTATGCTTGACCCACCTGAAGTAGCAATTGCTCACACCCTTCATAAGAATCAGTAACTTTCTTCGGAGTTACATTACGGTGATTGAATTTTTCACGAAAGAACTTTAAAGTGCCAACTTCCCTGGTCGATTCTGCCTTGTATAGGAGGTTGTATACAAACTAGGATATTAAGCAAATACATTTATATCTTAAATCTTCAAAGGCAACATTGTGTGTTTGAAGTTATTGGCATATTTATTAATTTAAATTTTATTTCTCTTTTACCTGAACATAGGCCATCTTTGTGTGGAACAGCTCAGCAACAAACGGACAACAATGATCAAAACGATGTTTTGCAGTATTGGCACCAGCTCTTAAATCTTTTGCTCCTGCAAACCTCACCCTGGTCATCTGGTCTCCCCCAAATGGTACAGATATCTTCTTCATATAATCATACTCGTCATCTTTGTTGAAATGCGCCCTTGCCTGATCTGCTGATGCTGACTGTCTGCCAATTATTGGAGGTGTTTTGCTATTGGTATCCTCAACTGGTTTTTCAATGACATCGGCTTTAACAAAGATTTTTTCCAAATGCTGTTCATAACCATCAAGGATATCAACTACATCTTCATACTTTTTTTCATCTTTCATCATCATTGGTAAAGGAACAATGATTGATTTTTTGGACATTTCTTTCTTGTACGGATGTGCAATATGATTGGGAATGACATGTTTCAAAAACGACAAGTGTGGTATTTTCTGAAGCAGAACTCTTCCAACCAACACTTTTATATCATCTCTCAACTTGTTGGCCTCGTTGCTGTCAAGAAGGAAAGCTGTGTTATGGAGGGAAGATATCTTAACTTGTGGGGACACATTTGACAGATTCTCTGATGGTACACGCTCAACAATAAGATTAGAAGCAAAGTAGTGCAAATCAGTGTTTTGATTTGTTGAAAGCATATCGTGTGCATGTATTTTCATGTCCCAGTTGTCACCAGGGCCTTGAATTTTCTTTCCGCATCTAACTTCTTCAACAAGTTTGTCTGAAAAGTGCCCACCAATGAGGTCAAGCATGTTCATTTTGCTGGTGTGTGACAGGGAAAATCCCATTTTCTGACATTGAACATAAAGCTGGAAATGAAAAAATGATTTTTATAACATACCATATTCTCTTTATAGCCTCCCCCCCCCCATCAAAGTAATTTGTATTTTATTTTTGGGTCCATTAATTAATATCCAATTTCATATGGGATATATTACATTTTACATGGCATACGCTATGATAACACGTTATAAGACAATTTTTAAACATGAATTTTGTTCAGTGCTCCTCACGAATAAGACCCCTCGAAAGGCCTGAAAAAATATGCCCCCTGGGGTTTTAATAAAGAGAAAATGGTAAACATATATATACATGGGCGTAGCCCCCCCCCCCCAGTTTGTTGGGCAGTCGGGCAATATTCGCTGAACAGTCGGGCAATTTTGGTTTATTATAAAAATAAATGGGACAAATTCTGTAAATTTTGTGGTCAAGTTTGTGATGTTTCGAAAATTTTTGTTAGGTTCCGGGGGGGTGGGGTGGGGGGGGAGTTCGCCAAGATAAATTCCGGAAAAAATTTTTCGGTACTTGTCGGGCAAAATCCGGAAAAGTTGGGCAAATTTCTTTCCGCCCCCCTAAATTTTTCCTTCCGGTACGCCCATGTTTGTCGGCATCGCTCTTGCTATGCTGACAACGGATAAAGCAGCTGCACGTGGCAAATTCGCCTGGTGGAAAATGGACTGTGATTGGTTCTTTCCTGTACACGGAGGGGTTTTCTCCGTGATTGTTGCCCCGTATATATATATATATATATATGTATATATGTATATATATATATATATATATATATATATATATATATATATATATATATATATATATATATATATATATATATATATATATATATATATATATATATTATTATATATATATTATTATATATATATTAATATATATATATTAATATATATTAATATATATATATATATATATTAATATATATATATATATATATTAATATATATATATATATATATATTAATATATATATATATATATATATTAATATATATATATATATATATATATATATATATATATATATATATATATATATATATATATATATTATTATTATTATTATTATTATTATTATTATTAAAAATTTTATTTCAACACGGTAATTACATCAAAGAGAAAACATATTTACATATTTACATCCTTGTTCTTCCCGTAAGCCGTGCATGCAATTTAATTATATGAAATATTATATATCAATATTAGAGAACAGAGAGTTGATGTGTAGCTAATTTATCTTTAAAATTTTTTAAAGATGTTTCTGTTTTAAGATCATTTGGCAAGGTGTTCCCAAGCTTGGCGCCAGAAAAAGCAAAGCTTTGTTGATACAATTCTGTTTTGACTGATGGCAGTGACAGATTTAAATTCGCATTACGTAGCCCAAGGGATTGAGCTCCGTCGTTATAGTTAAATAACTCTTTCAAATAAGTTGGAGCATCATTATTCAAGATTTTAAACAACATGGACATTTTAAACCGTTTTCTTCTCTCATCTAGAGTCGGCAACCCAAATTTTTCGAGCAGGGCAGCAGACCTAACAGAGTAATCGGCCCGGTTAATAATACGAACAGCCCGG